TGTGAATGTTCAACTACACTTTGGTCGTTTTTTAATGTAGGCTGAATGCAAAACAAACAAGCATGTTCCGTGCTGATGCCAGATAACCGATGTGTCTGCCATACTGGTATCTGCTATAACTCTCCGGCTTATATGGATGGCAAATTTTTGTTTATTTCTGCAGTAAGTAATTCATGTAGCCTAGCACACAGTATCTGGCCATTCTCATGAAATGCATGCGAGATTCGAGACAGTATTTTCGATTCCATGTCACCACCTACTAGATGTGGGCTGAATACTGAAATTCAACCAAAATTCCCATATGCGTTTTCGTTTCGAAAAGACTAATTTATCGGGGCTGTAAAATGAATAAACCTGCAACATAAATCTATAATATTTCCGTTGCCTCATAATGCCGGCTTTCGAACGAAATTCTTGGGTAAATACACTCTGTAAAATTGACTACTAAATTAGTATGCATTTTTTTCATTGATTTTCGATGTCCCTGAATTTCCAATTATTTTTCAAGGAAATCATACATAACAATATTCATGCTTCGATCATTATGAATGATGATAGAATAATGTTGTAAAATGATTATTTTTACAACCCTACTTAATCAGTTATTTCGAAACGAAAGCGCATTTCTAAATTTCGGTTGGCATTTCATGAGTTAGCCCACCTACTGTAAATGGGGTTGTATTAATAAATATCATGCGGCATAGTCCTGAACTATTTCACTTACACCGAGGTGCCAGCTTTCGGATGAGTTTCTTTTCGGCAAAAATTGAATACTTATTCAGTATTAATTTTTCCGTTAAACTATGATAACTTAGTAAATTTAGTTTTTTTTACCAGACACTGTAGACACAGATGTAGCGTCTTCTCTCGATGAAAGTGTATCTTCCCATTTTTAAAAGTTTTTAATTCATGTAGCTTAGCACACAGTATCTGGCCATTCTCATGACATGCATGCCGAAATTCGAGACAGTATTTTTGATTCGAAGGAGTTACCTAGATGGGATTGTATTATTGGATATCATGCGGCATATTCCTGAAGTGCTTCATTTACAGCGAGATGCCGGTTTCGAGTGAGTTTCTTTTCGGTAAAAAGTGACTTATTCAGTATGAATGTTTTTTTTCGTTGAACTAAGATATCTTAGTAAATTTGGTTTTTCTTTCAGCGGACCATGTAGGCACGGATATATCTTCCTATGTATTTATTTGGCAGAATATTACGTCCTCTCTGATTCTTTTCTCAATGAAAGGATATATTTCAATTTATCAAATGTTTTTAAATTTCCGAATGCATTTGAACTGGATTTGCCGCTGCACTTGCATTGAGGGTTTGCAGTCGACATGCTACACATTTTCTATGAAAAGAAAATCCTACATTCCCCTATGCCATTAGGAAGGGAACACGAAGTTTGTATGAAAATTGTCAATGGGTATGAATTATATTGTATTCTTCAGTAATTGCATTAATAAACTTTCAGGGAGGATGTTATTTGGATGGACATTTCGAAAAAATGGAAGTTTTTAAAACCGAGAGACAGCATCCGTTTAAGAATCTAATCCAAAGCAGGCATGATTTGTTACATAATGGAAACAAGAGTGGATATTTTTATCATGTTCTCTCTAAGGTATGTTTTAATGCATTATGCCATCGAAAATATGCGAATGAATTGACCCTGTTTAAGAGTGGCCTTTTCTAATCGATTGAGGTTATTTGTAAGCAACAGAAAAGGAGCTGATACAAGAATCTGCATTTTGACATGACTAAAATATCTAGGGATCACGTGGTACGATGATTAACCTCTTTATCCCAACTGTTTAACCAAGAACACTCTTCGGAGTTTCTGGCAACATATCATGACATAAACCAGATACTGCCTATCTCCCAGCATTTTAGCTGTGAGACATTCGCCAATTCCTTACGGACTATAAACAGCTCCCTGAGCCTGTCTGTTTGCTTACTGCAAACGGCGCACACTTACTCTCTTGCCAGACGACTGCTCCAGACGGAAAATGCATTTCTTTGCCCTGTTTAGTTTCTTAAGAAATCGATGCGCGACCGTGGAGTAAATCCTTCGAAACGTACCTTTTCAGGCACGGTCCGAAATTCGATATGAATATTTGAGCTGAAATTTGTCAGCTATTGCGGAATAGTCGACCACTATTCTCCCTCGCACTCCGTTCAGTTGTCCTTTTTCAGCAAGATAATCCCACTTAGAGCCACGATATCCACCTTGAGGGGACTGCCATATTTTACATCCTTCTTGGTAAGAATGAATGTGGAGGGTGGGACGTAGAAGGGTGGGGATCAGGTTTTTTGTTTTATGTCTTGTTTCGACCACGACACGAGCCACCGTCATTTTGCAGCGGCGGGGTGATCACCATCATTTTAAACCTTATTTACTAGTCCTTCCTCAAATTGGTGAGGGATAATCAGTGTTCCTCTGGACCTCCCAGAGGGCTGGTGAGTTACACTGTGGTTAATAGCTTACTTATATTGAGAAAATGGCCAACGCTGGGTTGGGTCGTCTCAAGAATCGCATTCCGTTTTCGCCGCAGGACCTTTATAACTAGGTTGTTGAGTGGATGAGATAGAGCTGTGACCTGCCTAGCATGAAGCCACCGTCTAATCATGTCACCTGATAGTCACGTCATCTATCCTACTTGGAGCCAATTTACTATTGGCCAGGCTTTTACGCCTTCCTGATCAGTTGAACATTGCGTTATTTATAAGAGAACAGGCATTCGAGGTTTCCGGAGTGAACGACGCCATTCAGGGAAAGGGGGGGGGAGAAGGAAGAGAAGAAGAAGAGGTACGTTGTTTCGCTCTGTGTTTCGACCAGGTGTCCAAGAGCCACGGTCAGCTACGTCTTGACTACCAGCCCTCAAGGCCAGATTTTCTAGCCCCTTTTATACAGGGGGGGGGTAAGCGCTGTTTCCCCAGCAAGAGTCGCGTTCGGCCGCCCGGGCGGCTGGCGAGTTCTTGGCTTTGGAATAGTGCTAAATCAATCCGAGTAAGTCTTAGTCGCCTTCAAGATTGCAGAAAATTTTCAATTGCAGTCAGTGGACGATAAACGGGGAGCTGGCATGAAGTCTTCGTCGACTCGTCGCCTTGACGAGTGGTCATCTTCAGTAATCTCCCATTAAGCACGGGCATCGGTAGATGCCGTTTGTCCTCGATTGATGTGTGGGAGAGTGGGGGACTAGAACAATTGATGCGCATCCAAAGTGATGGTCTGCGTCGTTGTCAATAGGTACAGTACGTGAGCAATCTCATAAAACATGATGACAGAAACTGATATGGAATTTTTTCGATACCTTGACCATTGGTCACTTGTCCTTCACCTTCAGGTCCATGCTATTTTTCGTGCGGAAGATGTGTGTGGGCAATTTTATCAAGAAAAATATTCATAAATTTGGCAAAAATTGACGTTGCGGCCTGTTCGGGTAATTTCCTATGCCGGTACCTGTCGTAGACTTTGGTTGCGCATCTGAGAGTGTCATTTGATACCTGGAAATCATGAAGTACTCAGCGGTCTTCGAAGGCCGACCTGGAACTCAGCATAGTCCAGAATAAACAAAATGTGCAAATTATTTTCACGGAAGAAGTGTCGTCATCATATACGCAAAATGACATGTTTACGACTGCACCTGTCGATTCTATTTAAATTTATGTCACTTACCGTCCTCGAAACATGTGCCCGTATGAGGTCTTTTATTCCTACGATTCTCCAGTCGGCGAAATTAAGAAAATCGTATTTACCACATTGAACCGCTTCCCGACCAATGAAAAAGCGTTGAAATTACATCGAATCCTCGGGAAACCGTTTTGAAATTTCTACCCAGAATGCAGACTGCTGACAAACTGCCATGCCTGACATAACACAAATTTTTAGGGTATGCGTAATTTTAAACGATTTTTAAAGATTGTTCTTTTTTGCAATCATATTCACTTAGGCTTTCTGTACATGTAAAACTGAATTTTTCACATTTGCAACCCTTTTTGTCGTTTTCAGAATTTCTCGCTCTTCTAAAAAAGTTGATGTTCTTTATGTTCTCAATTCCATTAAAGTTCTTACTTATTAATATAGATATGGGGTTCGTTCACCGGTTTTGTTTGCGAGCAATTAGCATTAATCCCTAAATTTTGATGCCCCTCATCAGTTAGGTCACCTACTTCACACATTAGGCTAGGGTTTGTGCAAGCATAAGACTCAGTCCTCTTTTGATGTCATTAACTCACATTGTCTCAGTGTCTTGCAGTAACTACTTGGAGGTCGATAAATAATCATAAAGGGGCCCCATAGCGTAATGGAAAGGGCTGCCTTCTGACCTCTAAAATGTCAAGACCAAAGTTCCTGCCTTATCGAATTTCCAGAGGTAGTGCTTATGAATCGGGGCCAAGATACAAACTATCATCATTATCGACGTTTACCTGATATTCTTTTTCCGACCAAGGACTGTGGATACGCTCTCCGCTATTCTTTTCATAATACATTTCTTTTAAATGAACCACCAGGAGCTCATATTTATAGCATACCGAAAAATATAAATTAAGAAAATTAGACTGTGACGTAAGGGTTGCACCACTTTTGCTCTGTTCAAGTCGACCGTCGACAATATCAGCTATGGTTCCTCCTATACACCTCTAAATCTCCAAACCATCCATGATCTGTTACACCACGCATCTCCGCCAAGACTTGGAGGTCTGCCTAATAGTTTGTTCAATTTCCGCCTTGTTTACTCGTAATAGTGAATGGGCTTCGCTATCGACTGCGTTTACACCCCTTCCAAGGAAATTAAAGCCTCGAGGTAGCCGTTTAATCAATCAATACAGAAAACGTGATTTTTATTTGTGTTGGGGCAATGTTTTCAAAGACTTTTCGCAAGAACGTTCGCACAACACGAAAAGACGCATTGTCACTATCAATAATTATTTTGGATTTATTATAAAAAATAGATATCTTAGGAATACCAAGTATATGAGAATGGGTTTTCAGAATTCCTCACATTATGGAGTAATATTCATCCCCGCTCTTGACTTCGTCACCTTCGTCTACGAGGGCTGCATTTGCTGTGTTATGGCGGTATGCAACAAACTGACCCATGATCTGCAGTGTAGGAAAACAAATAATTAATCAGCGAGCTCTTGCTTCTGTACGATTACATCAAGCATTTTAAATTTATCAGAATGTCAGCAGTTTTATGCATGGAAGGAGTCGGAAACTGCAAATGACAAAAGACTCGACTTACAATGAAATCGAATATCAGAATGCCCAAGCTTCCGAGGATCCAGGGAAGCGACCTCACAACGAAAGCAGCATCGATTGACTTAACAAAGATCTGAAGACCGTAGAATACGTTTCCAAAAATAGCCAGAAGGAAAAGGTAGAGGCTGAGACCCTCCGTCGATTTCCGTTTGAACTGTAGAGAAAAGGGCTTCTCTTAGTAGAAGGTCAGCGTCTCAGGAAGTAGCCGTTCTTATGCGCGTACGCATTATATAAATACCGACACAAAATATATACTTACGTTTTGGACAATTTGTGGTATCCGGGAGCAAAAGTACATGACAGCGCCAATCCAGCCAATGGCGTAACCGATTTTCTCCTCGGTAGTCTAGCACAAACAAGGAAACAGTATTTAAAACATGCGAAAGAAATTGGGAGAGGTTAAACCAGGGGACAAACGGTACGTAACCAATAAAATGCACTGAAAAGAGGATAGAAAATGATCCTTCTCGAAAACGTAATAACGAAAAATCATCTTAACTTAAAACCACTTGACTGGATTTCGTAACAGTGGACCTCCTCTTGACATATAGAAGGTGGGCTGAATCATGAAATGTCAACCGAAGTTCCGAAATGTGTTTTCGTTTCGAAAAGATTAATTAAGTAAGACTGTAAATCTAATCAGCCTGCAGCAAAATTCTATAATAATTCCGGGATGCCGGCTTCCGAACGAACTCCTTTCTGACTGGATGAAAGACCTACACTCCGTTAAAAATGAGTCCTTCAGTAAAATGAATTTTTCTCATTCGATGCCCTTAAACGTCCAATTCTATTTTCGCGAAAACCTGCATTCAAATAGTCATTCTTCTACTCATTCGGTAGAAAATTACGTTTGTTAATTTTATACTCGAAGGGGGGACATAATTAGGGTTAAAAAAGTTTCTAAGTGTGGAACATTTAAATACCGTGAAATGGCCGTTCATAAAACGCCATGTCTCTGCATTTACCAATATTGTTTGCAAAGTCAACAATATGGCTCAAATCTACTGCTATATTTTATGAACCCTATATGGTCTCTTCTTAATGCGTGGTTTTCCGTACGCGGAATATATAAGGCTTGTAGTTCGCAAACCCTGAATCCAAAGGTAACGGTAGTGCGAGCTAAAAACTACATGGGAATTGGGAAAGTTTTTAAAAAGTGAATTATATCCTTCCTTCAAGAATGAGATTGGAAGAAGGCACAAGTTTCTACGGGATAAGCGAAAGAATGAATATTTTTATGCAGGTTTTCCATGAAATATAACTGGACTTATAGGGGCATGGAAAATCAATGAGAAAATCTCATGCTACTTAAGTGGTCATTTTTACAGAGTATAGTTCTTGCCTGCAGCCCGGAAGAAGTCCTTCTCTCTTTTTACTTTCCTCAGAAATTATCTCCGAATTCGAAGTACATCAGTTTATTCAAGGCCTATAGGCACAGACCGAGAATTTTATACATTTATATTTGGGTCAAAGTCCATCAGCCATAGCGGGTGACCGCGTAATATTCATAACTGCCGACAGGCAGCTAGTACTATGAAAGTCTCGGTTTGTACATAGTTTCTGAGGAAATTAAAAAGCGGCAGTTTCTAAATTAGAGTTTCTAACCAGAAAACACACGAGGAATGCTGGGGGACCCACTGACGAGCCGAACCCCTCGCAGCTGCGCCATGCAGCGGCAGAATATCGGCGAAACACGCGTGTATGGGCTTTTGGCTGGTACCTGTGCTGTTAGTATGGTATCACCTTACCCTAAGAAAAGAAATTCTTTCGAAAGCCGGCATCCCGACGTAACTGAATTATTATAGAACTGTGCTGCAGGCTGATTAGTTTTATAACCCTACTTATTTAATATTTTCGAAGCGAAAACACATTTCGGAACTTCTGTTGACATTTAATGAGTTAGCCCATCTACTGTAGTTTTGTGTATATGCACAAGGTGAGGCATAATTGGTAGTCAAAGCTTACGGAAAGAAACCCGGCGAATGGGTCTGGCGTGGTGGTAGTGAGGGAGCCATCGTTTGCGGCCTGAAGCAGTTGGCGCCCCTGCAGATGCATTGAGCCCATGTGGGACGGTTTTCCTTGACCATTTATTAATGCGGGCACGCAGAAGTAGGAGACACCGACGACGCCCAACAGAGCGGTAGCCAGAGTCTTCGAGGCCTTTTTAGGAGCGGTACCTATCGAGTCACTGTTCTGGAAACTCTGTTCATCATCCTTTTTGACGTTGTAGTCTGCGCCGTATTCTGTTTTCGTTAAAATGAAAGAAAGGTTGGTGTGGTAACTGTTGAGCAAGCTTAGATAGGGTCTCGACCTTCTCACGTTGGAAACCGATGTCACAAAATTGAATCCACCTAACGTAGTGACAATGTCTATAAGGAATAACTGCTGTCTGTCTGGTAGTCAGTCAGGTTTGGTCGGGTGGTTTTGAAGAGTTATAAGTTCAGTACACTTTCATTTATCAGAGAGGCATTGCTTGCAAGCAAGGAAAACTCACTTTTGACTTTATGCTTATGGAGGCAGTAGTAGTATATGTATTGGCCAATAAGAAGCAAATCCACCACGACGGTGTAGCCGGCGAGGACTTTCTAAAAGTGGAAACGTCGAATTTTTTGTCGTTTTATAGGAGTAAGTACATGTTATTACTTCATTGCCGCGGTACAAGTGGGCGTTGAGTCTGCATTTTACCGTAGTGACTAATTTTTTTTTATCAACAAGGCGTCTGGTTTAAAGGCAAGAAAAGCATTCCTATTTCTGAAATGTATAGTGGAAGCCAAGTGTTGAACAGGAAACTTACTTGAAGGAACAGTTGATTTGTCAGGAATGCACCAATAAAGTTAAGACTGTCGCCGACAAGCCAAAAGAATAGAAGCCAAGGCGAGACAGCCTCGTCGGGAATTTTTTTGATACAGTTGGTTACCATTTGAGGAAATCCAAACATGAACCAGGCGACAATGCTCAGTACACCGAAGGCGACGGAAACCTTGTCACGAGTGCTACGAATGCACTCTCCCAAACCATACCAAGCCCAGTCGAGTCCGCCAGGACACCCTGCTTCCAATGAGCCGGGAGCGAATGTGGTTGCAGTTGTCATTAGTCGGGTATGCCGGTAGTCCTTTCCTCGAAGTTGAGTATTAATATGAATTCCGGTTCGGGCTGTTTTGTGATTTGCTTGAAAATGCTTAATTAATTTAAGAAGAATTTTCTCAAAAGTGCTCAAATTTATTATTTGTTCTTGTTTGTTCGCATAAGGTCGACCTTGCGAAGCCCGAACAAGCCAATCCGCTTACACTTTTCTTACCGTACCGGTGCTCCGATTTAAACATTCCCTGACCTGATTGGTCGCTGGGATGTATCACGACGTGGGCTTCCGACTTTGAATGACGTTTCACGGCAAGTGCTTCATGTCAATATCTGCATCAAAAATGATTCAGTGTTTTTTATTTCATCAAAACCACCAGAAGCTTTTGTGCCCTCGCAGTTTTCATAATATTCATATTCTTTAAGATAATCAGCTTATGCGGAGTTCAACATTATCTTTATTTGTCCAATTATCCTCCAAATTCTGGAGGTCAGTCACTTTATTACCGGTAACTCTTGCTAATTCCCTCTGTTTTCAAGCAGCCAGACCGATCATCCAGTTGCTTAAACCCTATACTTGTTCTCTGAAAGGCGACGATTGCAGCAAAATGTTGGCTAAGACTCACAGGACATAGACCACAATTTTAGAGTTCCTTTTCGAGCGGAAGAGATAACCTGGGCTAGGCTACAAAGCCCAAGTTCTGCACTGTGACAAATCGAGTTTTGTTTCATCGTCGAACTAGCAATTTACGCATATTAAATTCAGAGTAACCTCACCACACAAATAACTAATGTAATTTTCACTTATGATTAATTCCTGTATAAAAACGATTATGCCTCGTGAAATGGTACGCAGAAACTCATGCACTTCACTCTTGTTAGAGCATGGTTCATCTGCGGGTTAATGCTCGAGGCAGTTTGGCTTAAGAAAAGCTTATCAGCTGGTATAAATTTTTAAAAATAAAATGCTCTCCCGCTTGTCTCTCGAGTTCTTTAGTCTACATGCGACTTACATTCCCTAAAAAGTCTTCACCTCTTACCTGTTTATAGAACGAGGAATCTTGGAACTATACAAATCGATATGTGTGTTTCATTAGTAAGATCAATGAAGTCGGGAGGGGTTGGTTGAACGAATAATCATGCGAACTCCTCAAAGCCCTTTTGAGTTTGCAAATTTTCAAATAAAGTATTAATTCCCTTTGTAAAGCAGAAAATTTGCAGACGTCTTCCTCTAATTTTATATGCGAAGGAGGGACATAATTCGGTTTTAGAAAAGTTTCTGATTGTGAGACTTTCTAATGCCGTGAAATGGCTGTTCATAAAACGTCATGTCTCTGCATTTACCAATGTAGCCTGTAAAGTTAACAATATGGATAAAATCCACTGCTAAAGTTTATGAACCACATGTGGTCTCCTCTTAATGCCGTATAGAAATCCGTAGTTTTCTACAAGCGGAAAATATACGGTTTGTAATTTAAAAACGTCGAATCCAAGTGTGACGGCAGAGCGGATTCACAATTATTCGGTAATTAGAAAGGTTTTTGAAAACCGAATTATACCCGTCCTTTTAGTATAAAATTGAAAGAAGACTCAATTTTCTACCGGATGATCAAAAGAATGGATATTTTTATGTACGTTTTCTACGGAATATAATTGAATTTTTGAGGACGGCGATAATCAATGCGAAAAATTCATAACACTTAAGTAGTCATTTTTACAGAGTGTTGTTTTTGCATGCAGCTAGAAGGAAGTTCGTGCGAAAGCAAACATCCTGATGTAACTGAAATATTATTGAATTAAGTTGCAGACTGACGAGTTTTACAAACCTACTTAATATATCTTTTCGAAGCGAAAACGAATTTCGGGATTTCGGTTGACATTTCATGAGCTAGCCCACCTACTGTAAGTCAACGTACTCGGTGAATCTTTTGCATATTCTTTGACCTTGTCTTCCTCCTTCACAGACTCTCTCCCTCGATCCTTTCATTGGTCAAACTTGCAACTCTTGTGGCCGAATAACCCGGTCTGAACAATGCCCAACTGGACCGGGACAAATAAACCCCTTTGTTTGCTCTTAGATCTTTCTATTAGTAACTGCTAGCCGCTATGGACCAACTTTCTTGGGCTCCAGATTCACACTGAAGGGCGAATCCTTCTCTAAAAACACTGACCCGAGGAAGAATTACTAAAATGTAGGTATGTCACCATGACTTAACGTATGCCTATGAACGCCGCTAAATCGACTGTTCTTGCCATTTATTCTTCTAAACTGCCTGTGATTGTACCACACCAGCATCATTGCCAGTCGTGACGCTTATTCGCCACGTCCTCTCCTCCTAGTCTCTTACGAAGACCTTAATCGCCGATCCGGTTCATGATGCAACCGTTCCTCTCTACCCACCGAGCTTTGGATGCGTTTTTAACATCCTGACATGATATTTTTTTCCTTTAAGTCACTCAGCAGCCAAATTGACTTCTACGCATTTATATCCTGCCGCTAAATGCAAGAAGACGTGAATTCAGAATTCTGGCTTTTTGTTTTAATACAAACCTGGGTACTGTGTGTGTGTGTTTGTGCGTGCAATGGGAGTGGCACCTAAAAAGGGTCACGCGGAAGGCGCGCTGGATCAACACGGGGGTTAGACCGGAGTCCAACAGACATTATCGGGAGTGTTCACCATAACAAATGCTAATATTTGGGGTGTGGCGACAGATCCATTTTCGCTGCTTTTTGAAATCGTGGTCAATTGTGGACCAGGGAGTGTGGCGGTACGCCTTGGTGCGGGTTTCGGCGTGCCAACCACTTGCACCCCCTTCCTCGCCTCCGGTCTCCTTGACTCTGCCCGGGTGGGGGAGGAGGGGAGGGTGCCGTAGACGCTTTGCAAGCCCGAAGTCACCTTAAATTAACCGAGGTAGAAGTCATCGTTTCTGCTCTCATCTTGCCTTGGGGCACATGGTGGACATCTCCGAGCTTCCGTGCCGCATTACACCCCCGGCATTTATGGAAGGTGCGCTGAGCGGTTATGAGGTGGTTTACAAGGCCCAATTTCGGAGACGAAAGTTCAAATTCGCCCCTCATAGTCTCCGAATGAACTCATGAAAGAATTATAGAGGCAAATTCTAGAGATAAGTGGAAGAGCCGGACGTCTAACATGCAAACGCGTAGGAAGCTAGAGAACCTTTCACCTCCCCGGCAGGCCTTAGCATCAGACGAAGGCAGAAATGAAGGTGTGTTCGTCGCTGAAACAAAACGCCCTTATCTGGCACTGATTTGTTTTTGGGACTAACAGAAGACGAAATTCCTCCTTGTTCTCATTCAACACGTGATATTCCCCTGAGAAAAACGCGGTTTCTGTTCAGTAATCCGTCGCCGGATTAATTCACTTAAGCCCTCTCAAAACATGTGCCATGATTACAGCAGAGCCGTACAGTAATCAACCAAATGAGGGTCTCTAAAAACACCTGGAGATGATCAGCAGGTGAACCTATCTCCTTCGACGTCAAATCTCAAAGGAGATTGTTGGGATTGTGATTTCGAAAATAATGTAAAAGGTGAGCAACGAGACCATGCCCTATCGATTATATCCCTCAGATCTTGCGTAAATGGACTATTCTTTGCCATGTAAACTATTTTTTGAATGAGAAACGCTTTCAAAAAAAGGACGATCTAAAAATGTCCTCATCCCAGAGACCCTGGCTTTTCTGCGCGCTGCAACACTCTGCTGAGTATACGAAAATTTAATTTGAATTAGAAATTTTGAATTTTGTCTTAATTTTACTCATTTCCAGGGAATGCTCAACAATGACTTTATACAAGCACCGGCAATCCTTGCAGAGCGGCACATAACATAAATGACGAATTACCCTCGATGTCGAAATGATGTTCAGGTAAATGCCGAGAAGCTACCATTTAGGAATTAAGTAGAGATTATATTCCACCCTAGTCGGTATTTTACCTGTATTTAAGTGTGCTAACTGGCATAATTCAAGATATCTATAAGTGTGTAATGAGTTTTGGTGCAGTTTATATTATGCTCTCTTGCCTAAAAAGATTGTATCCAACCGCTATCGCTGCACAGCCCACACTTTTACTTTAGAGCCTGAACGCCGCGGGATCACTCACCTTCATCACGATTGCTCCGTCTGTAAAGTCACTCCGCGTAATCTCAGACACGCTGGCCTGTAGTCAGTCACCGACTCCAAATCTGATACTTATGACCCCAGACAGCAACAGTACACGCTCCTTGGAGTATGCAACACAAACTTGAACACAGGCCGTTTTGACCTCATTCTGACGCACGCTTACAAGGAGTCGCCACTACAAACTCTCTCTATATCTCAGTCATAACGCATCATTTTCGGCAGAGGAAATCACATTTTTTAGCGTTTACCATCTTCAGAGACAGCGGCTCTGGATTTTGTATAAAATAAATCCATTTTATTCTTGGCTCTCATCTTATCCTTCCAGTTGGGGCTTGGCTTGATTATCATACCTTCCAACATAACCCGTTACTGTGAAGGATACAAGTTCAGTAGTTTGCGAATTTCGAGCCGAAATGTGTATTTTACCTATTTGCTATAACTTCTGAATCGCTTACCATGTACAGTAGGTGCGTTAACTCATGAAATGTTATCCGAAATTCTAAAATGCGATTTTGTTTCGAAAAAATTACTTAAATGAGATTGTAATATTAATCACCTTGCAGCATAATCGAAAGATAGTTAAACTTCCTTAGGAGGCCAACTTTTGAGCGAACTTCTTACCTGCCGTATGCAAAAACCATACACTGCAAAAATGACCACTAAAGTAACATGCACCTTTCTCATTAATCTCCATTGCCCCTAAATGTTCAGTTATATTTTAGGGAAAACATGCATAAAAATATTTATTCTTTTACTGCCTCGGTAGAAAGTTACGTCTTCTTCCAGTTTTGAATTCGAAGGAGGGGTAAAATTTGGTTTTAAAAAGTTTATAATTATGAGGTCTTTTAATACCGCGAAATGCCCCTTCACAAAACATTGTGTCTCTGCCCTTACTAATACTGCTTGTAAGGTTTACAGTATGTTTCAAATCCACGGAAAAAGTTTATGAAATTCATATACTCTCCTCTTAATACCATAGAGAAAGGTACGGTTTTCCGTACGCAGAAAAATATGGCTTTTTGCTTGGAAACCCATGAATGCAAGTTTAACGGAGCGTCGAGTTCAAAATTATTCGAACATCGGAAAGGTTTTCTGAAAACCAAATTATGCTCTTTCATTGAGTATAAAATTGAAAGAAGATGTAATTTTCTACTGAATGAGCAAAGGAATGAATAGTTTTATGCATGTCTTCCATGAAATATAATTGAATTTTTTAAGGGCATTAGAAATCTATAAGAAAAATGCAGGCCAATCAAGTAAGCATTTTTTACAGAGTGTGCCTTTTGCATGCGGCCGAAAAGAAATTCATTCGAAAGTCGGCATCCCGAGGTAACTGAATTATTATAGAATTATGCTGCATGATGATTAATTCCAAAGCCCTACTTAAGTAATCCTTTTGGAACAAAAAGGAATCTCAAGATTTCGTTTTTCATTTAATAAGTTAGCACACTTACTGTATGTTCCTTAAGAATAATCTTCAATTATGTGCGGGTTAATGGAAGGAAGGGTTCTCGTATTTGTCAAATCTTGAGATTTAATTTTAACAAGTAAGTTGCCTTGCAAGAAGACTTAGGAGTTTTTCGGATACTAGGATAAGACCACAACTCATAAGTAGTCTTGTTGGGAATGTTTCATCTTCCGTAAAACATGCATCCTTAAAAAACCCACTTTCTCGCAAAAAAATTAACAGTGCAGCCTTTGCTGGCTCTGTCTAGTTTAATTCATGAGCTTTACTCAAGTTCCAAATTGCTATAGTAAATTGTTGAAAGCGGAAATAAAATCAGGAGCTAACTGCTATGATGGAAAATCATGTGTTTATTTGGACTCCAACATCTATTAGGTAATCTTATCGATTTCTTAAAGTGATATGTGCATGAAACTTGGATTAAAGAAAATAGCGGGGCCTTGGTGACTCCTAGTCAGGTGGGGTCGATCTGTCAGTCTTAGTTCTCCGCAGATATTTGAACAAAATAACTTCAGCACTTTATTTTAACTAAAGAGAGTCTTTTGCAGCAACATCTTTTAATAAAGCGCAGCACTTCCTACGTTTGATGAGTGACGTAACTGAGTAGTATCGAATCCGATAAAAACTCCAAAATAGTGCCGAAAGCAGTCTTCTCGAAGTTTGTGAATTAATTCTTGACGCAATTATTCCTGACAATTTGGGTAAAAAATACTCACTCAAAACGTCCGGTGACATGTTGGCAGGCGCAATACCCCACAGATGCATTACAGTAGCGAAGAACGAATAACTGAAACATGTGATGACTTGGTAAACGGGGACATCACACAGACAGAATTTCGCTTAAGTACGCAACGATTCTTCGGTCTGGCGCAAGGTGCTCTGGTTACTGAAGCGTCACAGCGAATCTCAGAAAAGAAGCGAATCCATTATAAATCGTTCTCTTTTTAACTTCCCACAGTCTGCCGTTAAAAATGACCCGACATTCCAAATTACACAGTTCGTCAGGTTTCTTGCATTAAAATGTGCCTAAAGTGACTAAAAAGGAGAATTTATGGTTTGCTCGCTATCAGTAGCTAACCTTATCCGCATTCATAAGGGGACGGCTTGAGATCTGAGCCTAATACGATTGGGAACACTTACAACCATTTGAGTAACGAAACGTACAACATCTCGGGTTACGATTGGAGTACACACCCTTGGATGTGCTTGCAAGGATAATTTGCTCTAAGCAGAATAGTATTGCTGACAAGGACAAGGGAGGCCGGAACAGCCATTTCTGGCTTATTAGCCGTCTCAGCCAGTCATACCAAACCCCGAAAAGTGGAACACCTGGGGCTCGGTCCTGCGACCTGTTAGTAAGAAGTCTAACGCCTCTAACCATTAAGCCAGGGGTTTGATGTATTCTCCGTTGCGATCATGAACATACAATGATAGAGGAGTGCTCGCCGATCCCTTTTTACGAAACTCACTCGTTTCGTCGTGCCTTACGGGCTCTCTTCCGAGCCCAAGTAGCAGCCACACAGCGACGCATGGTATAGGCTGAATGCTATTACCGGTATTGGGTATGACTGGCTGACGACGGCTAGTGAGCCAGAAATGGCCATTCCAGTCGCCCTTGCCTATGTCGGTGATATAATACTGTCTGTATCACGCGCCGCCGTTTTGCGGCTGCTGGTTGGGCTCGAGAGAGAGCGATAGCCCGTAAGGCAAAAAGGAACGAGTGAGTTCCCTAGAAACGATCAGTGATCGTCTCTATACCATACTTTGTTCTGTAAAGTTCTTCTGATGTGTGTTGGGCCAATTCGTAATACGCAAGTACTGTGCAATACTTCTTTTGTTTACGAAACACTTCAGAAAGGACAAAATGTCAATCAAAAACTGTCAGAAAGATGGAAATAAATCGCAGTATCCCGCTACCTCCGAAGATATACGATTGCTGTGCGATAAGTAATAGCATTAAACTGAGGCAACCTCCTAGAATGAATAAAAAATCGCTTATTTGAACTTAATAAATACTCACGAATAGAAGCAAATACGCGAGACCCAGGTTCCTGCTGTAAGGAAGATGAACGCGCGATCGCTGGGACTACACGTGTATTCTTCTGAGTTATCGGTCTCTCAAATGAGGCTATCATCTGAGACTCAGCATTATTTCCAAAACACCCCATCCACTCTTATCCCACCTTTTTGTTTGACTAAAAAACTGCTCATTTGAAGTCGCACTCCCACAGTATCTGATGATGGTCTCCTGTACGGAACCGAAAGCTCAGAATAATATACGTACTGTTCCGGTGATCGCGCGTTCATCTTTTTTAAAACGATATACTCACAGTCAAACAACTACCAATGACGCCCAGGAAGCCCCTGCCACCCATGCAAAAACATAGGCTGTTGGAAAATTGTCAGCTCTCTGCCACAAATAGGGTCTGTCAGCCGACCACGACAGAACTCTATAAAGAACTGATTCCAAGGCCTCTCCTGTCAGCAGCATCCGTGACCACTTATACGCGGTACGACGAATAAAGCCTTCGACGCAGCACTTGAAAAACCTGAATCCATGGATACTGCCCCTGTTACCATTTGCATCGCCTGTCGCCAACTACAAAGCACACCTGGATCATTTCGTCCAAGTTACGATCAGCCTAGCATCGAACCGCCCGCATAATCGTCTTCTGTCCAAGACCAGCAAGCACCACAAAACATCTCATGCACAGAATTCCCCTCCTAGACTCCTCGACCGATCTTCACTTTTGTTTGGGTGCTTTAATACTAATTGCCTGTAAGTAAACAGACTCTGCATGCGAGGAGCCATTTTGCATCTGATTTTCATTGGTCAATTCCTTGCCTTTGCTACTGGAGGCTGGCATCAGACCACCACGTGTTTGTGTCATCATACAGGGTTGCGGGTCAAATAACCTGTAATATAAATTCACCTTTCTGTTCTTACTGTCTTCTACCAACGTCGATGCTATGTTATTAAAAAAAGCACAAAACTGCCCAAGTTGTCCAGTTTTCCGACGTTGCTGTTCTCCTCCATCATGTCCAATCTAGTGATACAACTTGCATTTCAGGAAACTACAAAGAGAGTTATAACGACTTCCATCTCCGTAGTATCCCGGACTCAGGTTCGAAGACACAAAAAGCAACTTCAGGCCTGAAAGCACATTAATTATTTGAAAAACACGGCAGAATTAAAGCTATATGAATGGAGGCGAATATGTGAGTCCAAGGTTCTTGTTGCAAAAAAGGTGGACCTGCAATCACTGGGACAGTACATGCCGTAGTCTGAACTTTCAGCCTTGTACGGGAGGTCATCATCATGGACTGCGTTTGACTGCAAAAATGCTCATTTGACGCCGCATTCTCGGTCTCTGATGATGGCCTCCCTTACGGGACCGAAAGGTTAAACTAATACACGCACCGTCCCTGTGATAGCGCGTTCATCTTAATGAATACTGTCTTCTCTAATGACAGGGATTAGTTAATCTGAAGCGTTTATATGCATGGAAGATAAAGGTGGGTACACACCCATCTAACGAACTCAAAGACAGAGGTCAAATGCATAAAACTATAGCATTACTCCTGAAAAATGCCTCTGCACAGCTCAAAGGGCAATTATTCCCAGCAAGGTATTGCCGGCATCAGTGAGCCAATCCAAAG